AACATTTAAAGTTTGTTGCCTCTGGTGAGAGAAGCCTTTTGAATTTAAAATTTGTTACCTCTGGTGAGAGAAGCCTTTTGAATTTAAAGTTTGTTGCCTTTGGTTAAATGAGCCATTTAAAGTTCGTTGCCTCTGGTCAAATGAGCCTTTTGAATATAAAGTTTGTTGCCTTTAGTTAAATGAGCTTTTGAATTTAAAGTTTATTACCTCTGGTGAAAGGAGCTTTTGGCATTTAAAGTTCATTGCCTCTGGTCAGAGGAGCCTTTTGAGTTTGAAGTTTGTTGCCTTTGGTTAAAGGAGCTTTTGAATTTAAAGTTTGTTACCTTTGGTGAGAGGAGCCTTTTGAATTTAAAGTTCATTACCTCTGGTCAAATGAGCCTTTTGAATTTGAAGCCTTTGGTTAAAAAAGCTTTTGAATTTAAAGTTTATAGCCTCTGTTTAGAGGAGCCTTTCAAATTTTCTTTCAAAAAAAAAACAAGAACTTTATGTTTAATGTTTCATCTTTTGTATGTGTTTGCTTAAACAAAATTGGTGTCTTTTTTGTCTTTGCTTTATTTCTGATTCTAAAAAATAAGCAAAGAGGGGCAGCTGTAGGCAATAATTTTGTTCCTTTTATATATTATTATTATTATTATTATTATTATTATTATTTATTAATCTTTAAAACAAAAGGAGAAAAATAAAAAAAAAGTCTTTGATTTCAACTCTGGTAGTCCAAATCAAGCTGCCAGATAGTTCAAATTTTTTCCTGACACTACTTAACATGGCAGCATGAAATCCGGTGACTTTTGATCACCAGATAGACACTCAAATTTTTCACAAAAGATCTCAAAAGATCTAGAATCTTAAATCTCAGAAGCTCTATAAATAGAGCTAAGTTCTACTGTAAGGGAGAACAAAAAGAACAATAAGAGGGAACACACATAATAAAAAAAAAAAACCAACAGTAAACACACAAAAAAAAATTTTTGAGAATGAAATTCTCTATCTATGAAGTTTGAGATTTTTTTTGAAAAATATGGGCTTGAAAAAGTGTTTAGAAAGCAAAAGGGATCATTGGGGGAATTTCTGAGAATTTTTGAAAAAATTTTTAGGTCGCTGGAAACTGAAAAAATTTGAATTTTTCAACGATTGTTGAATTTTTCAGCACCAAAATCTGAAAAAGTTTAAATTTTTCGGCCATCGAAATCTGAGGATCTTTGAATTTTTCAGCGCCATTGAAGTTTTCGACCATCAAGGCACGATGACAACCTATCGAAAATTGGGCTCCACGGCGGCTGGCATAGGGGCTGGTTTTTTTTAGAAAGAGGAGTTCTGGGTAGAGAGAGAAAGGGGAAAGGAGAAAATAAAGAAAAAAACCAGAAACAGGCCTTTTATAAGCCCTTTAAAACAACGTCATTTTGGAAGTCTGAGCCAAGTTCGACCCGCATTAAATCCATGTGCGAACCTGACCCGTTTCGTAGGTTTTCCTTTTTCTTTTTTTTTTTTTATTTTCTATTTTGATTCTGATTTTATTTATTTTGTGTTGATTTTTTTATGTTGATTTTTTTATTTATTTCAATTTTTTATGATTTATTGTTATTATTATTATTGTTATTTTATATTAATAATTCTTAAAAATAAAAATAAGACAAAAATAACATAAATACTTAAAAATATAATATGCAAAAAAGAAATTAATACTAACTTTTTAATGAAAATAAAATTTTATTACAAGTAAAAATATTATTTAAATTTCACCAAAGTGTTGGAATAATTTTAAAAAAAATAACTTTTACCAAAAAAATAATAAATTATAAAAAATGATGAGTAAAAAAAAATAAATTGTTTAAATGAATCTTTTAAATAAAATTTTTAGAGAAAGTTAAAAGAGTTAAATTTTCTTTAATTATTGCAAGTAAAAATAATTTTTCAAATTTCACCATAGAGTTGGGATAATCCAAAATTATTTCACTAAAATAAAGATTGATTTAAACAATGTAAAACAATAATAAAAAATAAAATTAATAATAATTTATATCTTGATTTTTTAAAATATATATATATAGAAAATTGAAAGAGTTATATTTTCTTCAAACAAGAGACTAAAATTTAAATTTCACTGGTGAGTTGGGATAATCTAAATTTTTTTAAAAAAAAAACTAAATAATAAATAATAAAATTTTAAAAAATAATCATAATAAAGATTAATTAATTAATTCTTTTAACTATAAAAAAATGATTTTATTTAGGATCTTGTCAAAATTGATATCATCTTAAAACTTGTCCAAAATTTTTAGGATTTCACCGAAGAGTCGGGATAATATTAAAATTTGTTTAATAAATTTTGGGAACTCACCAAATCGTCAGGATGTTCCTAAAATTTTTTTTTAAAAAAATAAATAATTAAAATATCTTATGACGAAGTTTCGAAAATTTTGTGAATGGTCGATTTTCTCGAAACATTTTTTAAATAGTGATTTTTTATAAATTCCACCAAAGCGTTGAAGAATTTATAGAACATGAAATAGTAATAATAATGATAATTTCATAATAGAGAAAAATGTTTTAAAATAAATTTTAGGAAATTAAACTTAAATAAAAGATCACGTTATCAAAATTATAAGATTACGCATGTTTAAATGGTATCATTCTTTGAACGGGCAACATGAGAGTGTTAATATCTTCCTTGCTCGTAATCGTACTCTCGGATAGTCATAATTTCGTAGACCTAAACTTCTTTTAGTGAGTTTTAATTAATTTTAAAATTTTTACTAGAAGATGATATTTTAGGTGGCCAATCACACCCTATAAAAAGATTGGTGGCAACTCCGAAAATTTTCACCAAATCTAGCGATCGAGTCCTCTTGGACGAAAATCATTATGACAATCACCTACAATTGCATGAATCATCTTACCATGAAAGCTAACTGAAGCCTACTCTTCAATTAAGCTACAATGTCAAATGTAAATGTTCATTAAGTAAGCAGCATATTTTCTTCAGTAAAAAATTCGGTCAAGTCTTTTGTTTTAATTCTAATAGCATCTTTAATTTGATCCATCACTTGCATTGAAATTTCTTCCATTTGCTTAAACAGTCGATTATTCCTTTCACTCTTTAATAATTGGAGAGGTTCCTTTCACTGATTAAATTAGCCATGGAATCAATGAACCTACTCAAAAAGTGAAAGGATCTTGCACCAATGAACTCTTGCTCAAAAAGCAAAAGGATCCTACAGCTCAAAAAGCTAAAAAATCATGCACCAATTAATCAATGATCTCCTAGTCAAAAAGTAAAAAGATAATGACTAATGAACCATGCCAAAAATGCTGAATGCCAATGACTTCTAGCTTTATATCCCAATGAGTTCTAGCTTTTATAAAAAGGCAATCCAATAAATGAAATTTGAAAGTATAAAATTATATTTTAAAATGAAAATAGCAAGAGGAAGAGACTACTTTTTTCTCATGGCAATCAATTTAGTGGGGAGATAAGCCACATCTCCTCGTTTGGAGTCTATGAGAGTATATTAAAGAGTCCATACATACATGTTAGATACCATTTGGACTAAAAATTTAAGCTATTAGGTTTTTGGATCTTTTATATATATATATATATATAGGATATCTCATTCAGATTTTTTAGTGATGTGAGATTCTTTAGTCACATGTAAATCTTATCCTAACAATCTTTCCTGTTTATTTGTGAGTTCTCATCAAATCCTACCTCGGCTCCTCCGTGTGAGTAAATCTTATCAACACATCTTTTTGGGTCATGTAACCTCACATTTTTAGTGCGCTTTTAGGCCAAAGTAAAACACTCAACCATGTTGCTTAGGTTATCTTAGTGCTCCCTCAAGCTTGCACTCTAAATTGACTCAATACATCATCCACTTGGGTATTTTATTTTTGTATATTATCATATACTCATTATATCCAAGTCAAACCTTTTAATACTGATGTTCGAACACATGGAGTTGATGGACGCAGACAATCTCTGATCTGCCAACAATCTTCCTCCAGCAACACCACTGGACTTGAACCCGTAACCTGACTCTAATACTAGTTGTTTGGAGATTTGACACACTTGGAGCTCATGAGAGCATACTAAAAGGCTCACTTGTTTGTTCTACTTCTGTATATTATCATATATTCGCTGCATTCAAGTCGAATATTTTAATACAGGCATTCGATCATATGGAGTTGATGAATGCAACCAACCTCCAATCTGCCAACACGATTTTTTTTCCTTTTCTCATTTTATCTCAAAATTTTGCCTATAGCAATCGAATTTCTTGTAGGATTTCATATCCAGCATAAGAAATTTGACTGCAACATTCAAATTTTATGACTTGGGTATTCAAATAACTTTGCTGGAATTTAAAATTCTTTGTTAATTCAACAGATGCTTTATTCTAAAAGTAATGATTTTTCATCCAAATGATACCTATTCATGGAGAGGTGTGTCAAACAGTGTTTGGGACTTATAATACTTCCATTAACTCGCATTTATCACAACTTAACATTCAATCACTTAATTAAATCATTCTCTCACTCTCATTTCTAAATTTTTTTGGTTCAAGTGCATTAAAAAAGAATTGAAGTGCAATTTTATTCTCCAATTTAAGCAATGTATTTTAAAAATAACGTTTCCAAATGTCCATTTGCATCTAAAGCAAAAATTATCATCCTTAAAACAGCTTTCAAAAGTGTTTTGCCTAAAGTTTTTTCTTCTTCAATTTGTTTGTATTAGTCAATATAACATACAACAATTAGATAATATACAACATAAACTAGGACATCATTATTCTTTTGTCTGCATTAATGAAGTCCATTGTCTAGCAAATTTAGAAAGATTCTGCACAGTTTCCAATCTACTTTGTGATATTATCTTACTGTAAAGATAATATGTCCAAAACTGAAAGATTCTTATGGTAAGGGTATCTATATTAATGGTAGTTAAAATTGAAATCCCAACTCCAACCCCCACTTAAGCATCAGAAAGAGAGTTGTAAAGATCATTGCCACCAAGCAAAATAAAACTCATTTCAATCATGGGGATGAACTTATTTTAGGATAATAAATGCCTTATGCTACATTCTGTGCAAGAATTGTCTCATTTTTAATCTTTACAACTGTAACGAACAATTAATATACCGTAACATGAGGATGGAGATAATTGGAAATCTGTGTTATGATCGTACTATAATACCTCATTCATATGAACATATGCAGCTTTTGTATTTAAATGTCTTTTAATGTCACAGGCAGGGCAAAGTGCAAACTGCTATAGGAGTAGGCCACTGCCAAATGAATTGATTACAAGGTATAAGATGCGGGTGGGTGTCACTAGTCCTCAAAATCTGAATCCATTGGGCATGATCCATCATCTACATTGGCGAAAGGGTTATATAAGTATGAGTTAGGATCCATGCATCCAAGAACCAGATCAAGACTACAACGATCGCCCTGCAAGAGTGTTGCATTTATAGAGTTCATACATAAATTTCATGCTATAACTTGGACACCGATAGAATAATGAAATGAAGATACAGAATCAAGAACAAAAACAGATTAAAAAAAGTTTACTTACGCCTTCTTTGGACAAGTTACCAATCATAGCACATCTGTCAATAACAATATTTGAGTCCGGAAAAATTGCTCTGTCACATGCACCTTCTTTACTCAGCTCCTCTGCCAGCCCCTGCCACGGGAATACAAGATTAAAATGAAAAACATAGAAAACGAATCCTTCAACTTCACCCCATGCCGGCAACATGGAAGAAAATTTTCTTGCAATGCATGGCTTGACAAATTTTATGTCATGAGTAAGTGAAATATGATATATGTGGTCACCACAATTGTGTTCAACCTAGAGGAAGAGAAGAAGACTCACACAGCCCAAATATGCATATTTTACCTGGTTAAAGAATTCAATTGGTCTGTTTTGCCAAGCCTTTGGAACTTGAAACTGTAGCCTATAAGGACCATCCCAATCAACTCCATTTGTGAATGAGAAGATCAAGTTCACAGCTGCCAAGGGAAAAATACATTTTAGGAGTTGAGGAGAGAGTTAAACTGCCCCAAGAAAGAAAATAAAATTTGTGAAGGTTACAAACCATGCTTAGGAATGCATATCTGGATGGTGTATATCGGGCGATCAGCCTTGCCTCGAGCTTTCCTAAGCATCGCTCTAGGTTCGCCACCACACATGATAGGCTGATTGAAACCTCCTGTAGAGTTACAATTCAATAAGTCATAGATTCATAGCCAAGTACTTCAATTATCTACTTGTTTATTGTCACGGATCATCATTTGGATTTATAGTTAACAGATTTATAGTTCAGATACTACATTAAAGATTTTTAAAATTCAGGTATCACATTAAACATTTCATTATAATTTATGGACCTTATGTAACATTAACCCTATTAGTAAAGCTACAGGACATAAGTATGACAAATTACCATTAAAAGCAATCCCAAATTCTTCATTTGGAACAAGTTTGGTTGCAGCTGGATTATAGAAAAGCTTCAACTTCTCTCCCTGTCAAAAAATGGAATCTCTATAGAAAAGACTAAAGAGTAGCAACAGCCCTGACCTTGCTTTCAAGCAACATAAAATAAAAAAAAAAAACAATGCTATATGCACTTACAGAAGTTGGAGGAAGACCATTCAAGGTTTTCCAATATACAGGAGCCCTCCCCAGTTCAAACATAGCCCACGAAGGGAGTGTATACCTGTTGGGTAGGAATCTTCAGATTATTCAGTTTGAATGGTTAAGAAATTTCAAAGAACATCACATCGATCACAGTTTAGAATGTCAGATATATATAACTTTAGCATGCTGCATTTAGAAACATTCAGAGAGAGAATTCCTCCAATTTTCCACTCCCAAAGATCTTATTCCTCAAAATGCAAAACCCAACACTCAAACTCCAAAGCCTGAACACTCAAACTCCAAAGCCTGAACACTTTGAACTTAATGAAACAGAAATAAATAGTAGGAAGCTAGAGCTCATACTCTTTAATTTCTACCATGGTACTTTTTGTAACAGTAGCTGTAGCACTCACTTTCCCACTAATCTTGACTAATTTTTTCTTCTCTGGAAAATCCATTGGCAAGGAGGCACCCATAAAGCTACTAGCTGCATTTAAAAATGCAAAGCTGTTAGGCATCAGAAATTTGTGGCATAAAGTCTGGCTATTTTACATGGAATTTTGAGAGACAAAAAATTAATCAGCTTTAGACATAGATTTTATATTAGATACAAGTATTGGTTTGAGTTTACATTGAATCTCTTAGTCTGATAAGTTTAGCAGAGTTATAAATGCCTTTTAAGAATTTTTTGTTCTTTAATTGAATCATCTCAAATAGTTAAACACCAAAAAAATATTTTAAGTGAACTGCTAAAAGAGTGTAATTGAACTTTTGGATCAAATTTGAGTGAAAGTTTCTTTTTTTTTTTTGTGATTTTTCTCATTCCGAAAGTTGCATAATTGTGAAGATTTATTTTATTAATGAATTAGGTTTACAGTAAGATATTTTGAGTTGGACTAAACCAAATCAAATATACTTATGTGTTCTTATTTTTATTTTGAATTTGCTATATTGTTTGAGTGTTTGAGTGTGGTGCTTGTTTTTGCCTGAAATTTAATAAGGTTCCTACCTTATTTTAGAAGCTCTATTTCATTTTGAGGAAACTAAAAAAGTAACTGAACCACTAAATGATATTTGGATTTCATGACTCAAAGGGTATAATTTCAGCTTAGAAGTGTCCAGAGTCATGCAAGGCAATACAAGATCGAAATTTAAGGGAACGTCTAATCATAAATAACCAAATCTAAAACAGCTCATAGCATTTGGATTCATATTTGCCATTTTAAACTTCCTCAAAAATTGCTCAGACTTGGTTATATAAAATTGCAGTTTTTGAAAGTAGAAATGCCAACTTATGCATAAAAGCCATGTTGAATACATTAAGGAAAAACCATAGAGCATACAACATGAAATAACTCTTAAATTGAAGGAAAAATTATTGGATAATTCCATTGTTTTCAATATATCTCACAAGATAATCAAGTTAGCATGAGTTATGTAAATTACTATAATAAAGAAAAATCAACCTGATTGTTTATTAAGGGTACATTTGCTAGAGGAGCAACTAAGCTGAAAATACCATTGGTTAGGCCTAGGCATGAGAATACTTTGGTTAAACAGTTTGGCAATTGAGATTTGTACTTAATTTTAGGTTTAAGGAACTGAATTCAGGAATATAAATAAACAGAACTTTTAGCAAATAGTTCATAAACAGATTGCTTTTTTTTTTCATTTATTAAACTTAAAAAAAAATCACAAATAACATTTCACGATTCTCACAAATGTAACAAAATTCATTAATATTCGATTCATTTACAATAAGAATGTAAACGAACAAATCTATAGACAAATAATTCGTAACAAGCTCAATTTTTGTTTTATTTATTAAGCTTAACAAATGATTATTAAAAAAATTTCAAAATTTTTAATTAATGAACAAATAATAAATGTACCAAAATTCGTTCATATTGGAATCCCCAAATTATTTAGCAATATTTTTTTACAGCATATTTTCCCAAAATGAATTAAAACGTGAAAAAAACAATATAAGGAAACAACAAAAAGGCAAATGAAAATAGCAGGTGTAAGGAGACTGCCTAATTGGATAGCTTTGTACCTGTCACCCATCGCCTGGTCGAAAAGGGTTGAGTTGGAGAAGTAAAGAGTGATGCAGTTGCTGCCATTGTTCGCACACTTTTGCTACTTCTTTTAACTTCCTAGAGAACGAATAGGCTTTTCTCTCAATTAAGCAAGAAAGGATAGAATCAAAGAAACAGAGAGAGCTTTGCTTGGAAAGGGAGAAAGAAGTGAAGAAGTATATAGAAAGAGAAAAAGAAAATATCTATCCATGCCAAGTAGATTATTTAGAAAACGAAAGGGCTAAAACAAAAGCCTAACCAAAAATATCTAGATTTTATTTCACCTCATATCTTCTAATCTAAACAAGATCACCTTATCAGCTCATCTCTCTTGTCCTTTTCTTATATACCACTTTCTCTTTCCATAATCCACAATTTTTCCCACACAATTTTGGCTTTAAGTACAAACGGACCACAGCCTTTATAAAACCCAACAAAAACCAGTTTTTCTCTAGAACCGCACCAATTGAGACACAATGGTTTTAATCACATCACCATTGTCAAAGCCAAATTCTGCTTTTTCTTTGTTTTTAATCAGTCCGCTGTCTAAGAATAAAAAAATTAAAATGTTGAGATTAACTTAAATCTTTTGAATGCAATCTTTTAAAAATAACCATGCAAACAAGTGTACTAAATTTTGGATTCGGTCCTTACCTTTTTTTACCTCTTCAAAGAGCAGCACTAATAAAAACCAGACCTTGCTCTTGCTAAGTCCTAAACTTTGGCCATCGAAACTCCAGATTGAATCAAATAAACTGAAACCAGAGTCCTTTGCATTCAAGTTTTTTTAACTCAATTGAATAGGTGTTGCAGCAATAGGGAAGTGTTGGCTTTTGATGCAAATATGATATAAACTATACAGAAAGCAATCATCTTGAGCTGAATTAAAATTCCGGGATCAACAGGTTAGTTTTTTTTTTTTTTTTCAAGCTCTTAAGCTTTGACACTGCAACATTTTGTTAGGAAAGTAAGGTCAAGCATCATGTAATTAGGTTTGAACCAATCAAAGATCATAAGTCTTTATCTTTTTTTTCACATAGAGTCTTAGTTATTTAATAAAAAGAGGTGATGGTTGTTTTAAAGTGGAAAACAAGGTGATGCTGCAAACTAAGAAAATAAAAGGGAAAAAAGAATCCAAAAAAAGAGAGACAAAAAAGTAAGGAAAGTTGATTGAATAGAAGTTGATTCATAGTTCGATTGAGCTAAACTTTTGTTAACAGGTTTATAATTCAAAATTTTACATTTTAAACGGTGACTATCGAGTTTAAAGATCTTTAGAAATAAATTTTAGGTGTATTTGTTGAGTCACCTATTTAATGAGATTTCTTCAATTGGTTAGTTGTTGATTAGCTTTAATTTTAGCTAGAGAAAAACTTTGTATATTCATTATTTGATAGTAAAAATTTTTCTAATAGTTTGTGATTTTTTCTCTTACACTGAAGGGTTTTTCACATAAATCTTGATGTGTTTTTTTTTTCTTTTGCATTGTTGATTGTTGATTGTTATCTATTACTATAGGTTTATTGCATTATATTATTTCTATGTTTTTGTGTTTATTGCTTCAGACCCAACAAGTAATATCAAAGCAAGGGTTATTTTGAGACATTGATATAAAAGTCGCTCAAGATAAAATCAAATTTTATTTGAGATCACGGAGGGTGATACAGGTTCCATGATAAAATTGATAATATCAAATTATTCAATTTGAAAGCTTATGATGGAAGATCATTTATACTGCAAAGATTTATATGAGCTAATATTAGATGATTCTGCTAAACCAATAGATATAAAATATAAAAGATGAAAAAAGTTAGGTAAAAAGACGTTGGTTACAATCAGAAAATGAGTTAATATCAGCATGTTCCATCATGTAGTATAGGAGATAGATGCCTACACTGTTTGAAAAAAATTGGTAGCACTATATGAGAGAAAAACATATATGAATAAAGTTATGCTTATTAAAAAGCTTGTAACTTTATAGTATAGGGATGGACAATCTATTACAGAGCACTTGAGTGATTTTCAAGATATATTTAATCGGATGACTACTATGGAGCTTAAGATTGATGATGAAATAAAGGCATTATTTCTTTTGGGTTCATTGCCAAACAGCTGAAATACTCTGATTGTAATTATTCTTAATTTAGCTCCTGATTAAAAGATGACATTGGAGATGGTAAATGACAGTATACTTCACAAAGAAGTAAAGCGACAAAGGTTAGAACTCAAAAGGTTATATTAAGTCTAAACATAGATCCAAGTCCAGAGATAAAGTAAAGTGTTTCCATTATGGTAAAATAAGTCATATAAAACGATATTACAAAATCTTGAAACAAAAGAGGAAAGATGAAAAAAGTAAGAGTTCAAATGATGGTAATATTATAGCAGTGAATTTAGATAGTGATTCAGTTACTTAGATTTATACACATGATAATCGTAATTATTTTGGTGATCTCAACATTGAGTGAATAGTTGAACGAGAGCGGCATATCATTGTATTCCTAAAAGAAAATTATTTATAATCTACAATGCAAGAGACTTTGGTTACACTAAGATAGAAAATAATAGTGTATCACAAATTGTTAAGATTGGTAATATTATTGTACAAACTAATACGGGTTGCATGTTGACTTTGAGAGATGTCAGATATATTCTGGATATAAGAATGAACTTGCTTGCTATGAATGTCTTTGATAAGGAGGGATATGAGAGTCGACAAAAGAATGGATGGTAAAAGCTCATCAAAGAATCTATGGTAGTTACAAGGAGAAAATTATGCTGCACAATGTATAAGACATGGAGCAATTGAACGGTAATTAGATAAATGCCATTAAGGATGATGCTTTAACAAACTTGTGACACAAGAGGTTGGCACACGTAAGCAAGAAATGGTTACATGTTTTGACAAGACAGTCTCTCATTCCTTTGACCAAAGTTATGTCTCTCGATTCATGTGATCATTGCTTGTTTAGTAAACATCGTAAAGTTTCTTTTTATAAGAGTTCTTAGAAAAAAAAAATAAATTGGAATTGATTTATTCTAATGTATGTGGTTCGAGGTTGAGTCACTAAGTGGTAGCAAATATTTTGTTACTTTTATTAATGATGCTTCACATAAGACTTGGGTGTATATGTTAAAAAATAAAAGTCAGATATTATAATATTTTTAAAAATTTCATGCCATTGAGGAAAGGATGATAAGGCTACTCTTAAAATATATTCGAACTAATAATGGTGGGAAATACATGTCCAAAGACTTTGAAGAATACTATTCAAAGTATGGGATCAGGCATGAGATGACAAAACTTGAAACACCGTAACATAATGGTGCAGTCGACACAGCTTGTTATTTGTTTAACGGATCACCATCAATTTTTTTGGGCTTTGACATTTCATAAAGCATGTAGATAGAAAAAAATGCTTTATACTCTCACTTGAAAGTTTTCAAGTGTAAAACATTCATAGATGTGCCAAAAGAGCAGAGGTCAAAACTTAACAATAAAGCTACATAGTGTATGTTTGTAAAATATGATGATGAAAATTTTGGTTACAAGGTATGAGATCTAGTGAAAAGAAAGACAGTTAGAGGTAGAGATGCGATTTTTCATGAAAAAAAAATCACAGCAGACCTCGAGAAAAATGAGAAGATTACACGATTACTATTGAATGTGATGTTTCAACACCAATAGGATTTCATAAGAAAGAGCCATAGATGATGAAAATAAGCAAGAAACAAAATTTGAAGATATGAATGAGCCAGCCATAATCAATGGTGAGCCAGATACAATCAATTTTGAACAAAAGGAGCAATCATCTCTACTTAAAAGTGTTGAGCAAGGTGAGTAGTTTTTTCCATCAAAGAATATTGAGCAGATAGAGCTATCTTTAGCATCAGGTGATGTAGAATCTTAGCCTAAAAGATATGCTAAAAAGCACAAATCATCTACCAGATATCCAAGTTCAGATTTTATTTTAGTTATTAGTAAGAGAGAGCCAAAGAGCTTCTAAAATGTACAAGCTATTCCAGATGGAGAGCACTAGTTAAAAGCAATGAAAGAAAAGATAGAGTCATTATAAAAAATGGTACATATAATTTTGTTAAACTTAAAAAAAAAGAAGGTCATTGAAGAATAAATGGTTGTTCAAGTTGAACAAAGATGATGACAAGATAGTGAGATACAAAGCTCGATTGGTGATGAAAAAGTTTTTTCAAAAACTAGGCATTGATTTTGATGAGATCTTTTCTCCAGTTGTGAAGATGAGTTTCATTCGAGTAATATTGGGATAAGTAGCTAGTTTGAATCTTGAGCTTGAGCAACTTGATGTCAAGATTGTATTCTTAAATAGTGATTAGGGTTGGCAACGGGTCGGGTTAAGATGGGTTTTTGCTTGCCCCAAACCCGACCTAACCAAAATTTTTTTTATTTTTTAATACCTGAAACTTTATATTGTATAAACCGTACCCAACCTGACCCAAAATTAATAAAATATTATTTTTTAAAATATAAATATATAATTATATAATTATATATAAATTAAAAATTAATTTTTAATATAATGTCGGGTCAGATTTGTCTAAAACTTAAACCCAATCTGAACCTGATTTTTTTTTTTGGTAATACTTAATGCGACCTGACCCAAAACCTGATTTTCAAAAAAAAAAAAAACTGACCTTATAAGGTTGGTCAAATCAAAACCCACTAGGCTCAGGTTGGGTTGCCAACCCTAATAGTGACTTATAGGAGGACATTTATATAAATCAGCCTGAAGATTTTAAAATGAAAGGGAAAGAGCACTTAGTTTGTAAACTGAATAAAAACCTTGTATGGCTTGAAACAAACTCTGTGACAATGGTAAAAAAATTTTGATTCTTTTATGATAAGCCATAGCTATAAAAGAACGATAACGGATCCTTGTGTGTATGTCAAAAAATTTTTTAATTGTGACTTCATTATTCTTTTATTATATGTTGATAATATGTTGATTGTGGGATAAGATACTGGTATGATTCGTAAGTTAAAAGAACAATTGTCTAAATCCTTTGACATAAAGGATTTAGGTCCAGTAAAGCAGATTTTTGGTATAGACATTATCTAGGATAAGAGAGCTAGAAAGTTATGGTTATCACAAAAAAAGTATGTTGAATGAGTGCTTAGTATATTCAACATGCAACATGCTAAATTAGTTAGCAGTCCATTTGCCAACCATTTTTATCTGAGTAAAAAATACTATTCAATGACTAAAGAAGAGTACCTAGCTATATCTAGTATTCCTTATTCTTCTACAATTGGTTCTTTGATGTATCTTATGGTTTGCACATGGCCTGAC